CCAACCAACCATCTGTCCATCCATCCATCCATCCATCCATCTGTCCATCCATCCATCCAACCAGCCATCCATCCATCCAACCAACCATCTGTCCATCCATCCATCCATCCATCCAACCATCCATCCAACCAACCATCCATCTGTCCATCCATCCATCCATCCATCCAACCATCCATCCATCCATCCATCCGTTATCTTTACCCGCTTCTTCCTTTTCGGGTGGCAGGGGTCACTGGTGCCCATGTCCAGTCGGTGTGAGAGGCAAGGAACACCATGGTCAGGTCTCCAGTCCATGACAGGGACACCCTGGTCAGGTCTCCAGTCCATGACAGGGACATCCTGGACAGGTCTCCAGTCCATCACAGGGACATAGAGACAAATGAGACAAACAACCATTCTCTCTCTCTCTCACCTCGGGACAATTTAGAGTTACCAATCAGTCTAACATGCATGTTTTTGGTCTGTGGGAGGAAACTGGAGTACCCAGAGAAAACCCACGCATCACGGAGAGAACATGCAAACTCCACCCAGAAAGGCCCCCGGATGGAATTTGAACCGCTCGTTGACCTGCTCATTGAGAGGCAGCAGCTGTACCACCTGCGCCACCGTGCTGCCCACACAGCATATGTTTAAAAGTAAAACTTCTATGTTGTAATGTTTGCAGTATTGTCCCTGCCTTCCAAACATTTCCCCTCCAGTATATTCTGGTCCTGGTCGTCAGAAGGAGATGGTGAATGTGGTCGGCTCACACCTGCACCTTTTTCATGGCACCGTCACTTCCTGCTGCAGCACAGAGACTCTATACAACACTTTCTACACAAAGAGCCAGCTGCACAACGACAAACGATTCAAATATCTTGTGTTTCTTATCAGGGATGAACAGCACCATGTGCATGGGTTTATTCTCCTTTAACCAGTATTAACTGGTTTCTGTTGTGCATCAACTGGAACACGAGTCCGGTCTTTGAAGTTCTTCATCTGTTTCTCACAGATAAATTCTCAGTATTGTGAGCACAGCAGGTGGAGGAACTCCATCAGTCTGTTCGACGGAGTCACCGGGGGGGGGGGGGGGGGGGGGGGGGGGACCAAACCTGAGGCTCATGTAAAGCCCGGAGTTTGTCTAATAGAAGGCATTATGTTGTTCCCTCAGCTGAATCTAGATTATTTTTACCAAAAGATCCACATGGTCATCATTTTCTTTCAATACTCAGGTCTTTTATATCTTGGAGCTCAGTCCATTCTTTTCTTTTGGCTCAAAGTGGACCAGTACTCTCTGATACTCAGCACTGGCACTTCTAAACTTCTACCTTTAAGGTGCCATCACTTTTACAGCATTCTGCCACTTCTCATGATCATGCCCGTACCAATGTTTCAGTGTCACAAGCTGTAAGCTACAGCTGAATCTGATGAACTACATTACCCACAAGACTTCTGGTGGAAACAGGAAGTCCTGATTACCAATACACTGCTTGTGACTGAGTCAAATATAAGATCAGGTGACTAATGAGGAAAGATGATTGGCTAAAAGTTAAGCTTAAGTAGCCAATCAGAGGCAGAGCTCGGTGAGTCTGGTCAGGATTACTGAGGACGGTAATATGTCCAGTCTGTAGTCAGAGATGGTTACTGGACAGGACTTCAGTCACCGGTGACTGAAGTCCTGTCCAAACAGTTTTATAAACAACCTAGACGCTCACCGATAACATTCTCACGACACATGCATATATAGGGTCTGGAGTGGGCACACGGGGGCATTGAGGGGGTGGGATGTGTAATCATTCTCACCTCTGGGACCTGTGCCCACTCTCACATGTTGCATGTAGACATTTAGGGTTCTGGGCAAGGGTTGGGGGGTGAACGGGCACTGCCTGTTCTCTGGGGAGGGGGTGGGTCTGTGCCAGTCACAGCCTCATCCCCCCCATTTTAAACACACTATATAACAACATGCATCAAC